TTTTTGACCTTTATATGGCTATGATAACCTCGATACCCTCAAAATTTGCTGTGATTCGCACGAATATTACCTCATCTTCAAGTCTTCCCAAACTACTCCTATCAAGTTCTACTGCAACATTTGGAAAGTTACAAGAGTGGAGGAATCTCGTGAATCAAAACCATTGACGTTGACGGGAATCGAACTTTTTAGGTGTGGGCCTAGAGACCAAAGTTCTACCACTTTGACCATTGGACCACCTCTACCATGGTGGATCCAAGGCATTTTAAACCTTCAATTGCTTCAGAACCTTTCAATCTTGCCTGCTGCTAAAAGTAGTAATGCATATAGTCTGGGTCGCTTTGATTTTGTATGTAGACGGTTTTCAAACTCTAGCGAGAACCAAGATTTATGAATTTTTGAAGAGAAGTAAAACATAGCGAAACAAACTCCTGCGAAATTTTATTTGAAACAAAGCTTATTATTAGGTGGATGCAAGCGAACACACTGAGTAAGAAACATAATCTGATCTATGACATGGACAACGCAGCATGAAATTGAGAACCGTAAAAGTAAATGGAAGTTAAGAAGTAATCGGTTTAGGGTTAAACAATAAACTGTTGAAAAAAACACAAGTCTTCAAGGTGTAACATAAAAAGAAGAATTAACAAAAATTTTTGAGTTTTTTTCGATTTTTTAAAACAAAAAACTGAAAACGCAGTTGTCATCAACATCTCAACTTATAAAGTTTACTTCGACGTTTGCAAGCGGTATAGGAAAACTAATACTTTGCAAATTGATACACTTTGATTTTCACGAATCATATTAGGATATTGGTAGAAACCTGAATCAAAAGTATGCTTCGAAAATATTACAATCTGTACAGTAGTGTAATAAACTGTTAAAGTAAGAGTATTGTAGTGGTTACAAGCTACTTCTTAACTCTTCATGCTGAAGTCGATTCCAATCTGGCATCACAGCCGGTTGTCCGAGTTTTCTCGAGAAAAAGTTGACAGTGGCAGCCCAGGAAATTTCTTGGCTTTTACCGTGCAAGACAACATCACCACCATAACCGCAGCAGAAACCTGAAAATTCAAAGAAAAAATTCCCAGTGATTCAATTGATGCTGATGCATGAAAGCCGCCACAATCTACTCGTAAATCGTTCTAGGATGTTAAGCTAAAGGCGGCGCACTAAACAGCGGGCAATTGGGCTTTTGACGCCGTGTAAGGCCAACTGAATAGAACTTTGGTGTTCCCCTGCGCAACACCAGATATCATATGCTATAAAGCAAAGCATGGAGGAAGTGAACTAATTGAATATTTTCCCATTTTTACTGATTTTAACCCACAGAACGCCAAATGACAAATGCCCGCCGTTTAGCGCGCCGCATTTGCTTGACCTGTTTGAAACCTGTTAACGAATCTTACCTTGGAATTTCGTCCAAACTTTGTCATGATGTGGGAAATATGGAGGTTCCATAATATGGCCACCATTAACTAACTGCACTTCGACGTCATGTCCAGTCTCGATCAAACGCTTGGCGATGTAACGGCTGCAGAAAACTGACGGGGAGACAAGATCATCCACGGAAGCCTAAAATTTTCCACTGAAGGCTCAAGTTTGGCAAATTTGATGGTCCGACTTACCACTAAACGGAAAGCTGTGCCTTTGGGTATGCGTTCCCAAGGAATTTCCACTTCTTCGGTCACGTCCACGTTCTTTAACACTTTATCGGAGGCTAGGATCGCATTTATAAAGTAGAGGTAACGATCGGCTTCACTAAAAAAA